CTCCCTCTGACCCTTCTGTCTCTCATTCTCTCTCTCTCAAATAAATAAATAAAATCTTTAAAAAAAAAAAGAATGGTGAGAGGGAGAGAAGAGAAGAATTATTTAAGCCACTTTAGATGAAACCTCCTGCCACCCATAGGCACTAGCTGGGTTAGGGGATTGTATGTTAGCTGGGTACAGATTGGAGAGAAGGTCACGTTTGCTATTTGAAAGTACTCTCTGCTGCAGAAGGACTTGCCTGTAGGTTGAAAGGAAGAGAACTCAGTGTCACTGTTGGCCCTGAACCTGAATTCCTTCCATCCCCTGAGCTTGGCAGCAAGTAGGTTCTTATAGGGAATGTTTGGAGGAGACGCCTTTGTACTCCAGACATGGATTCATCTAAGCAGATTCTCTTAGGAAGAGAAAGTAGATTGGTGCCATCCACCGCAGCCCCAGACACCTACATCTCTGAGTTAAAAACAAAGCCTTGCTAGGTACTTCTTGTGCTCTGTTGGCACTGACTGAGGCAGAGGCAGTAGGGAGAGACAGGGAACCAGAACTCTGGTGGAGAAGCCACAGGGCTATTCCTTGGTGGGGAGAGTAAAAGTAAAACCTCTCAAAATAGTAGCAAGTTGAACAGCAAGACCTGTATTACTGAAGGATAAGCACAGGAGGTTGGGTGTAAATCAGGTAAATCTTAAATGTCCAGAACATCTTAAATTGCCCTGGAGTTCTCCATATTATTTCACTTTAGGAGATTTGGTGTAAACTATTAACTCATAGGATCTCATGCTAGATGCAGTGTGTGTGCCCTGGAGATTCTAATAAAGAGTCTTGATTGCCTATTTTGGGCCAGACTCAATGCTAGGCACTTTTACATGGGTATTGTCTTGACTCCTTAGAATTGCCCTGTGAACAAGTATGATTTGCCCCAATTCACAGATGAGGGTGATGAGGCTCAGAGAAGTTCAGTAATTTGTCTAAAATTAGAGTTTGAATGTGGCAGGGTCAGGATTTAGAGCCCGATGCGTTAGGTTGAGCATGCATTGGACTGTACCATAGTTGTTTTTGTGAAATGAGGCTGTGCAAGAATGCAACCAGCCTCCCTGAGAACGAAGAGGCCCAGATATTTTTTAAAGGTCTGCAAGACCTACTGTTGATATGTAAGCCAGTGAAAAGGCTTCATGATATAGGACTTTTTCTGCAGCTTTACTATTTAAAGAAAATATATCATCTTCCCTAAAACAAATTTTACTGGTTAAAAAGAGATCACCATGAAATCTACCAAAGCATAAGACAAAATGTGAAATTTGACAGGAGATATAAGCTATTTCATCTAATACTGAATGGTGCATTTTCAGAAGCAGCTGTAAATTAAATAAAGGAGCACACATTTGAAACTGTTTAAGCCTTTAACAAATATTTGGGACAGTGAAGCTGTTATGGAAACATACTGTCGGTGATAAAACAACCAGTAGAGATAAATTCTGGTTAATAAATCCTGTCATTTTGTCAATGGAGTAGAAAGTACTTTCAATAAGAGGTTCATGATGCAGGACACATTCCAGCAACCCTCTCTTCAACACCTGGACTAGGTGGCATGGTCTAAACCCAAATATCAGCCTGCTGCTACCATTTCTGTTCTCCTCCAAGGTTAAACAACCAAAGAAAACCCAAGGGGATACCTGAACAATCCCTACCCCAGCATCAGAAATAACAAAGTGGTTCCTGAGCAGATTAATAGGGACAGTACTAAGGTGTAAAGTGCAGACTGAGCAATACAGGTAGTAACCTTAATAATTGACTCTATGTCAGCTCTGAGTGGCTAAAAGGATTCTTTGGGGACAGTGTTTTATAAGGCAACACAATTGCCTGAATCAGCTAGACTAACTCTCTTAGCTGAGGTGGTAGTGGAGGGGGGGGCGCGGAGGGGGGAAGATTTGAATGTCTAAATCAGGTGCATTATTCACTGTACAGAGGTTTAATTAAAAAAGAAAAAAAATCATACACTGTAACCTTATGTAGGAAAAATGACTTTTTTAAAAACCATCATTCCAATGACACCTGGATCATTACAGTGAAGAAGAATTTAGAATCTAATTACCTACAGGGTGTTTACATATGTTATCACAGGAGCTTGGAGAGCAAATCAAGATAGACCTACGTGGTTTTTACTTAACCTGCAGCCAGTCTTGTCTTTTCAGTTCCTCAGATGCAAATACAATATCATTATGGAGGTAACTCAATTTACATAGATGTATTCCTGAAAACCAGATGTGCTGTGTGAAAGCCAAATTGTTGTGGATCAAATTATGTTTTATATCCTAAGGGAACTTGTTATTTAAGCATCTGTGATGCTTGCTATGACTTAAAGCGTTGGCATTTATAGACCAAATGGTTGCCTCTGTTCTAAGCTGGTGTACTTATGGTGTAGGCAGGGTCATGTTAGGCTATGCTGTGGGAAAAAAATAAGTGTCATTGACTTAACACAACAAAGAGTTATTTCTTGTTTTTATTAGAATCTGATGCAGGTTGGATGGCCCCCCATGCTGTTATCTTCCAAGGACCCAGCGGCTCAGGAACTCAGACTGTTTCATTCTTGCAACTCTGACATTTCAGTTTCATTTGACCGCAGATAGATGCACAGAGGCAAAACGATAGTAAGGTGAGTGCCCAGGAAATTGAAAATGGTTTGGTGACCACGGTCTGCCACCCTGGTATTTATCACTGTGATTGTTTCTCTGGCTTTTGGAAGCAGTGATGGGACTTTCTGGAATAGCCAATTTTCAGAGCTCTTGGTACATTACACATTCAATAATACTTTTTGTATACAAATAGAACTCTTCATTAATATAACGATAAAGGGAATCTCTTAGAAAGAATATATTGGCCATCAGATTCAGGAACCAGATGAAGAAAATCCATGGGAAAGGAGTACAGGCTCTCAAAAGGAGTGTTGGCACAAAATGCTGTCTGTGTAGCATATTAGTCATACAGTGCATGCTTTCTAGTTTCCTTTGCCTTGACTTCATAGTAACCTCCTGGACTAGTCTCAGATTGCTCTTCTGACTCTGGTCCTCCTGTTTACTTGTTCTTTCCCTGCATGATCCTGACTTAGTCTCCAACCTCAACCTATAGGCCTGATCCTTACCTTCACTCTACATCCTTGGTTTGTAACTTGCTTATGTGGCCTTCCCAATATCTGACCATTGTCCATATTCTGCCCATATCACTGCTCCCATGTAGCATTTGCTGCTATATTCCCTAAAGCCTGCTCAAGGACATCACTCTGGCGATTCTCCCCTTCTCCTCCATCAACAAATTTCTCCTCTTTACTGAATATCCTTGTCTACTGCATATTAACAGTCCAGTGTTTCTCGCGTCCTAAAAGAAGGGAGACCCCTCTCAACCTCTGTTCCCATTCTAGTAACTACTAACTCCTTCTCATTACTTTAGAGCATCTTAAATTTTTAAAAATTAATTTCTCTCCTTCCATTCTCACCTGAAACTACCCCAATCAGGCCTTCACTACCGCTGTTCTCCTGAAACTGTACTTGTCAAGGTCACCCTTGATTTCCATGTTGCTGAATCCAATGGTTATTTTCAGTCTTCATCTTACTTAAAATCTCAACAGCACTTAACACACAGCTGTTCACTCTCTCCTCTGTGAAACTCTTTCTCTTCTTGGGTTCTAAGATAATTACACTTGCCTTGTTTTCCTCCCACCTTTATAAATGCTCTTTCTCAGTCTTTTTGTTTCCCTTTCCCCCCTGTTTTTCTCCTCTTATTTCCTCACCTAAATATTGGAGTACCATAGTGCTCAGCCCCTGGATCTCTTCATTTTTCCTATCCATAGTCACTCTATAGGTGATCTAGTCTAGATTTATGCCTTTAAATAGCATCTCAGTGTTGATATCATCCAAATTCTTCAACCCAGTTGTCTTCTCTGATAAGACCCATGTATCCTACTGCTTATTTGACATCTACACTTGGATGTCTAATAGGGATTGCAAATTTAACATCTCCAAAGCTAAGCTCTGGATCTTTCTCCAAACCAGGTTTTCTTACTCTTTTCTCCATTTCAGTTAATGGAACTTCATCCTTTAAATTGCTAGGATGAAAAGTCATAATACTCAGCCTTAACTCTTCCTATTTTATCACAGCCTTCATTGATCTGTCAGAGAATCTTGACAAATTCTTCTAAAATTTTACCACTTTTCACAACTCCCATCACATCTCACCTGTGTTATCACATAACTTCCTACCTGATGTCTTGCTTCTGTGTTTGTTCTCCATGCCTCCCCTAAAACTATTCTTATCAAAGCATCCAAAGTAACCCTGTGAAAATACAAATCAGGTCATATCACTCTTCTGCTTATTACTGTCATTGGATTCCCATGTCATCAGACTGAAACCCAAAGTCCTCATGCTCACCTATGGAGCTCTGTGTGACCTGGCTCTTCCCACTTCAGCCAGTTTGCATCACTGCTGTCCTTGAACATAGCAGGCAGTCTTCCCCTCCTAGGCCTTGACCTTGCTGCTTCCTCTGCCAGGCATTCTCTTTTCTCAGCTATTCACATGGCTCACTCACTTCCCTCATGTTTTTATTTTAGTGCGTCATCTCTGTGAGGCCGTCCCTGATCATTTATTGAAAAACTGCAACTAATTCCCTGATATTTTCTATCCTTCTACCATGATTTATTTCCCCCTTACCATTATCACTTCAAATACACCATATTTTTAAAATTATTTCATCTTTTATTTTTCTTAAAGATTTTATTTATTTGAGAGAGAGAACACACAGAGGGAGAATGAGAGAGAGAAGCAGACTCCCTGCTGAGCAGGAGCCTGACTTGGGGCTCGATCCCAGGACTCTGGGATCATGACCTGAGCTGAAGGCAGATGCTTAACTAACCAAGGAGCCACCCAGGGACCCCTTATTTCATCTTTTAATTTTATCTTCCCCATTTTAGTATAAGCTCTATGAGGGTATGAAACTTGACTGATTTGCTTACTGTTGTACCTCTTCTGGCTCAAACAATGCCTGAGATACAGTAATTGCTTGAGAAACATTTGTTGAATGAAAGAACAGATCCGTAATAAGATTGTGTTCTCAAAGGTAAATTGAAATTCCTCTCTTGGGAACATTATTCATATTTTCCTACATAAATAATGAAATTCCCACAGAAATGAAATAATGAAAGTCAGTCCTGTACTATTGGCTTAAAATCTAAGTTCTCCAATATGCTTAAAACTGGTTCATTAGTTGAGGAATCATACAATGTCCCCTAGCTAGCTGTTGCCAATGAGACATACTTGGAAACAATTGATCACAATATAGCATTGTGAGGACTATAAAAGAAGAATCACAGAATCCAATGGGAAGCTCAGAGGAAGGAGGAGTGATTTTGGAATTGGAGTTAATTTCACAGAAGAAGTGGGTCTGTAAGAATGAATGAAAGTTGCCACAGAGAGAAAACGAAGGAAATTTAATAGGCAGAAGGAATAGTATATCAGATGTCACAAGTATAGAAGTATATGATACATTCATAAAAAGGAGAACAAATTTTGTGTGACTGGAATATTGGTGAGAGAGGTAGGTGGGTCAAAGTTGTGGAAAATGCCATGAGCCATATTAGGGAGCTGAGATGTAATCTATCAGCGCTAAGAAAGTTTTCTGGATTGAATGGAGTTTTGGAGACTGGTAAAGAAGCAAAAACGCATTGCTTCTCTTAGAAATTGTCTTAACACTTTGTGGCTTATCAGTTGTTGGGTTCTCAAATTTCCTTTGGTTTCTAAGTAATTAAAAAAATAATTGATTGGGCTACTTCAAAGTTTAGGTAATGACTAGTATCTAAAATCTTATGTATTTAGGGACACCTGGGTGGCTCAGTCGGTTAAGCATCTGCCTTCGGCTCAGGTCATGATCCCAGGGTCCTGGGATAGAGCCCTACATGGGGCTCCCTGTTCAATGGGGAGCCTGCTTCTCCCTCTTCCTCTGCCTGCTGCTCTGCCTACTTGTGCTCCTTATCTCTCTGTCAAATAAATAAACAGAATCTTTAAAAAAAAAATAAAATCTTATGTATTTCTAATTCATTGTGATAAGTAATATGTTCATTTATACATTGTTTTCAGAAAGTATGACCTCTGGAAGTCCAAAGAGGAATTTACTAAGTTTTACCCAAACATTATCTTTATGATATCCACATACATGGTGGTTAAGTACTGGTGTGTTGGGGCACCCTGATGGCTCAGTTGGTTAAGCATCTGACTCTTGATTTCAGCTAAGGTCATGATCTCAGGTTAATGAGATCAAGCCCCACATCAGGCTCTGCACTCAGCATGAAGTCTGCTTGAGAGTCTCTCTTTCCCTCTGCCCTTCCCCCTGCTTTCTTTCTCTCCAAGTAAATAGAATCTTTAAAAAATACTGGCATGTTATCTTTATAGTCATAGCCACACAATAAAGTCAAATTTGATCTTTAGGAAGAGACTGGTGACCTGGATAAAGGCACAGGTTTGCCTATTAAAAATGCAGATGCCAGAGTCCTGGGAGAGATAGCCAAGGGAAAAGATGAGGGAATCAAGATTCAAACTTATCTTGAGCCTGAATCCTGAAGACTGAGTCTATACCAAGTAGAGAAAATTTAAATGCAGAAAGCTTAATGTTCTGAGTTTAGGTTCAGAAATTTAATTATGTGAGTCAAGATTGGGAAAGCTTGAGCTGGCAGCTGATAGGAATCTAAGTACCAGGTACTATTCTAAGAGCTCTCTGTCAGTTAAATCATTTAATCCTAACAGCATCCCTATGAGGTAAGGGCAATTATTCTTCCCATTCTACAGGCACCAAAATTTTCCCAATATCATGTAGCCACAGAATGGTAGAAGTAGGATTTGAACTGACAATGGTGACCACTATGCTATAATCCATGGCAACAGTTCATGTGAAAATTGTGTTTTTTTGTGTGTGTGTGAAAATTTTAGAATATTAGGGTTTGAAGGAAACTGGGAGATCAGGATGTTCAGGGATTTTTCCAGCTTTCTGGGCAATGCCTTAGAGGTCCCGTCCATGAGCAGTGGGTGGGTAACTGAGTGAGCAGGGATCCAATGGCGCAGGCAAAACCAGCACACTTCCATTGGTTCTGTTTCCACGTTAGGGATACAAATATGGTCTCATTTGAAGTAAGAGTTCACATAACTTTTTTAAAAAGTGCCTTTGATCTTGTAGCCTAAGCACTTGTTTTGTTGAGGATGCCATGGTCAAAGTAATGAGTATAATATGAGCTAACAGTGAAGTGGGGCTTCTTGAACATAAAACCCATTCTTCTTAAATTGAGGAAGACACAAAGAAATGGAAAAACGTTCCATGCTCATGGATTGGAAGAACAAATATTGTGAAGATGTCAATGCTACCTAGAGCAATC